TTGAACTTCAAAATCGTTAAAATTCATGGCYCCCGCCGTATTGTGCGGGTACACAACTAGTATATATATATACACATATATATATATATATATATAATTAATAAAATAACAATGTTATATTTAATTGTAGATAGAGAAATTTCCCCAGTCTCATAATTAAAGAGCATAATAAAAAAACAAAGAGAAATGTCCAAAAAAAAATCAGTGTACTTTAATGTTTGAAGTGATTAACTCTTTGGACAACTTTTTGAAACAAATAAGTCGTTGGGCATTTCAAAACTTGTTAAATAAATATTTGTTAGTTAAAAATGTGACATGCAACCTCCACATCAGGCAAAACTACAAACTAAAAAACATCTATACCGAACAAATTGTTACCGCTCTCCTTACAAGCAATTTTGATCAATTTTTTCCATAAACCTAATGAAGAACAAATCAAATGAAATGGAAGTTAGGATTTCCAAGTATCAAGTATTTGATTGTCAAAAAAGATTGATTACAGAACTTTATGAATACAAGTTGAATTAAGGTTGCAGTTACAAAATCACTAAACCGTGAGTAAGGCTTCTTGTAGGCTGTTATGATTTAATATCAAGCATCCAACAAGAAAAAAATTTAATTGATCCATCAACAATTTTAAATGGCAAAATTACTAAATCCTAAAAAAAGATAATACGGGGAAAGGGGCATTTTTCAAAAATTCAACGTCAAAAAAGATGGATTACTTAACGGAGCAGTAGAGCAGTATCAATGGAGATATAGAGGGCGAGGGTTTCTAGACCGAGGGGCTACTGGGTGAGGGTGTCCCTATATTCACTGTCGAGCATCATTTTACCATCCATAACTCGATTCCCTCATAAATTCTTTGTGGGGTTTGATCGACTCGAAGGGTTCTTCATAAACCTAGAAGAAAACCAATAAAAAGGGGGACGACAAACCAGGGTTCTTATCATTGTCAACCGGAGAAGATGAACAAGTAGTCCACTGGAGAAGATGGATTGGAGCAACAATAGAAATATCATATTGATCTAAGAGGAAGTCGTCTTTCAAAGAAATCGGGTTTCATGAAGTCTAATTCAAAAGACACAAAACTATAGTTTTTATGGGATTTTTTAATTTGTACTTTTACATGTTATGTAGGTTGTAGTTTATATTTGTAACTAGCAAGGATTTATTTAAAATATTTTAAAAAATCTAAAGATTTATTTAACATGTTTTAAAATGTTCAATGATTTACTTATTCCAAAAAATTGTTTAAGGACTTAATCACTCGAAAAGTTAAAGTTTATCGAGTTTTTAGACTTTTCGTACAAATAAACATATATTTCTAAAAGTTAACATGTATTTTAAATAATACATATATTTATTTTGAGATGAAATGAGTATATTTTTTGTCTAATGATTTTTTAAATTTAGATCATAGTCAAATGTGTGTGTGTGTATATATATATATATATATGTATATATGTATATATAATTTTTATGTGTTAGTTAAATAAATAAAAATGAAATTATTGGAATTAAGAAAAAAATATCCATAAAAAATCCACGTCAGATGATTAGAATCTTTAGAAGGCTATCCCATCTCCATATCAAAAGAGACGCTCTCCCGGAAATATCTTGATTTGGGTCCCACACTCCTTACCTTAGACCACACAAAAATATTGTTGCTTTACAAACCCCTCTTGTCTCTCCTACCGTCCGACACGTGTCATTTCCCCTCTTCCATTACTGACCACATGTTTCCGGCGGTGGAAATTTTCTCCATTTCATTATTTTCTCACTCTCAAATGACCATCTTACCCTCTTCCTTGAACCAATAAACTATCCACTACTTTATTACCAAATACAACGGCCGAAAGCATTTTTATTATACAACACAATAATAATCAAATGGAAAATCAAAAATTAAAATAAATTTTAAAAACTTATATAATATATATATATATATATATATATAATATTTTAGCTTCCAAAAATTATAATATCAATATTACTATTAAAATCATTTTTTTCAAACAAATCAATTTTAAGAATTTTTTAAATTTAAATAATTTTACTATGTTGTCTTGTCTTACTTACTTTCTCTGTATTGAAAAAAAGTTTGAAAAAAAGAAAATTAACCCCAAATCACATTTCTTTCGTGAAAAAAAATCAACCAAACGAGTGAATGAAATTTGATCAATGGAATTTAATATTTTAATTTCATCAGATTCCTCCAGAATTTGCGAACCAAACATTACCTTATACATTTATAGAATGTAAAATCAATTGAGAATGAGCTTTTAAAAACATCAAAAATTATTAAAAAAAAATATGTTATATTAGTAACAATAAACACGTATTCTGTATTATCTATCAGTTGTATTCGTACATATGTTTAAGTTATAAATTTAAGTTTTAAGAGATTATGTTGATAAATGGTAGATAATATTTAATAAAAGAATTAAGTGTTTTTACCAAATAAAACGACATAGGTATGTTTCATTAAAAGTTAAATATTCTTTATAACGATCATAGATCGTCTTTGACATATTTTTTATAATGATTATATATTTATTTATAACAAAACGACAATAGATACAAATAAATATATGATACTAATCATAGCTTTACATTATAATTTACGATCGTACGCCCTTATGTCTCAGCTAATTATTGGCTAGATACCTTAAAAAATGATACATTTTTTTTTTTTTGTAAAAGCGGTTGCTTCATTTTAAACGTGATCCCAAAGGAAATGTATCTCTTCTCATGCAACTGATATTTAACAGGATAAGACATCGGTTTTCTTTTGTTGTTTTTATATCCCGAGTTAGGTTATCCTTAAAAAACACGTCAATTTTACAGTCGAAATTGATGATGTTTTCATTTCCAAACACTTTTAGCAACAAAATATACACTATTCCTCCTCCTATAAAAGGATCTCACAATACACATACAACTAAATATTTGTTCTTTTATTGAGTCATATATGTATTAAGACGTTTGTCTGGTTTAATATGAATTGTTGTTATGTGATAAAGAAATTGTCTAAGACATATTTTAATTTATTTTTTCAATAAATAATTTTCATTAGAATAATATCAAAATAAGTTCCAAAAACTATGAAAACTCAAAATTAATAAATCTAGAAAGAAAAAAATATAAAAGTTATGAAATTGCATAACCGAACAATGGAGTTGATAATACAGCAAACTAGTGTTGCATTAGGAGTTTCAACTACACAGACACGTGAACAATTTAGACAAACCAACAAAATGATATGTGGAATCAATACATCCAAAACACAGTAACATAATTGAACAAACCCAAAGCCCACCAAATTCAAAGTGAAGACCATGCGTTGATTCTTTAGATGTTGTGGTAGATAACAGTGATGATCAAGTAAGCAGTTCTAATAGAAAGGTAATAAAAAAACATAAAAACTGGGACAAAAAAAAAAGATGAGAACATATAAAGAATCTGCGTTAGTTGATTTTTGTGTTAATTTAAGAAATTAAGGGTTAGTTTTAAAATCAAACATGCTTAATAGACAAAATCATCATAATACTCTTTCATGATGATTAGTCATGAGTTTATGGGTTCCATTCTTCTAAACAATAATAGATGTTTTTATATATCATATTTAAAATAATTTTTTTTATTTAAGAGAGTTTTTCATAGATAGAATGAATGCGTTTTTAAATTGAAAGAATCAGGTTTGAAAAAAATGGTTTTCTGCATAAAACTCTATCTTAAAAGTTACTAAAAAACCATTATCAAACAATTGTGTATAGCTGACTGAATAAATTGTTAAGGCTTATTTGTTAGCAGCTTAATGAGTTAATGAGACTCACAATATATTCGGTGAATTATACATTATTGTTTTGTAGTGACTTAATGATGTAAAAAATGACTTGTCTAGTAAATTTTTAGGAGAAACTTTATAAAAAAAAGTCGAGTTTTCCTAATGATACCCCTCATAATAAAAAAAAAATACGTTTCTTTCATCCATAAAAAACTCTTCCAAACAAAAATCTTCTCAATATATACAAAAAGATTAATCCATACAAATTATTTTATCCATACATAACTTAATAGAAAACCAGTCAAATAACCTTTTTATCTTATTAAGCTTGTGAAAGCTACTAACATATTAAAAAATAATACACGATTGTAATAAAATCAATCAAAAGTCTAAAATGTCATGTACAAATGGATTAACATAATATTTAAATCATATAAAATGATATCTAAGAATAACTTAAATAACCATATATTTAAGTTTAATACAAAAGAGTTACACGTAACTTTAAAATGGTATTTAAAAGATTTAGGGTATGTGTCATCGTCTAACAACTAAATAATCATTTTTTAGAACGTGTTTTACCTTAATATCTACCAGACAGTAATAATATTTTTATTTTTAAATGAAAATTTCAAATCCATAATCTTAATTCATTTTTCATTCTTTTATTATCTGACCTTTTTGATTTCATATTGTGTGTAATTGTCAAAGAGTAAAAAATCTTATGCTGATTATCAATTTTATAAAGTATTATATTGAATTAGTATGATACACGGTTTAGTTACTTTGTATTAATTGACTTTTATAACGTTAGATGTAAAATTTTAAAAATTATACATGTCTGTATTAAGTTGTAAAATTCAATATTAAATAAATATTATGATATAGTAAAAGATATAAATATCAAAATACTCATGTGGTAGAATTTTAAGAAATTTGATTAAAGAATTTAGCACAATTTATTTTAAGATAATTTTTTAAATAAGGTTAATTTTGATATAATAAATATTTATATTCGATATTTTCTGTAAAAGAAGTTGTGAATGAAAAGAAGATAGGGGTATTTTGGTTATTTTAAGTCGAAGGTAGGGTAGTTTCAACAATTAAAAGCAAGTTGCCCTTTTTTGCTGTTTGTTTAACATCCCTTCGTCTAGCCTTTTTCTCTCCTTATTTCGTTTCCAGGACCTTTGAGTGTTCTTTCTTTGGAGAGAGAGAGAGAGAGAGAGAGAGTTTCTAGAGAGAGAAAGTTAAGATCTGTGTTTGTTGAGTTGAGGAAGATGAAATCGTGCGAGCTTTGCAAATCTTTGGCTAGGATCTATTGTGAATCTGACCAAGCTAGCTTATGCTGGAGCTGCGACAGTAAGGTCCATTCGGCGAACTTCCTTGTAGCAAGGCATTCCAGGAGCCTTCTTTGTCGTGTGTGCCAGTCTCCGACGCCGTGGACTGCCTCTGGCGAGAAACTTGGGCCGTCGACTGTGTCGGTCTGTGACAAGTGTGTTGTTGACGGTACTTCTGAAGAAGACGATGATGACAGAGAAGAGAGCCAGGGAGGAAATGATGATGATGATGAGTACGACGGAGATGAGGACAGTGAAAATGAGATTGACTTGGAGGATGAGGAGGATGGAGATGATAATCAGGTGGTACCGTTGTGTTGTACTCCGCCTCCGGCAGCGAGTTCCTCCAGCAGCGAAGAGTTTTCTAATAGCAATAGAGGTGTTTTGGTGAAGCGAAAGCGTGAAAATGTAGCAGATCTTTCCTCTGAGGTATTAGAATTTCTTTTCTTCCCTAATTATCCTTTGCAGAATTTTGGTTCAATTCAATTATATATTTTTGTGAGTGAATCATTACAATTTCTGTGCGATAATTTTTCATGAACCGATGGTTATTAATTTTTAAACAGAGCACTTTAGTTCTCTAAATGATCGATGATTGTGATTTTGTGCTAGTTTTCACAAATGGTGATATTATCGACATAAATTTCTATTTTAATTCCCAATCTCTTTCCTCTTCGCTGATTTCTAGAGATCGCGGCAGATTTAATGCTAATCAACTGTGCTAATTTGTTGCCTTGTGGAATCAGGATGATGTTGATTGCTCATCGGTGCAGAAACGCCATCATGATGCGTCGGTGGCGGAGGCTACAGACGAAATCGGAGATAACGGAGCTGCATTACATCACTCATTACCTTCGAGTTCGGAGGCGATCGGCGAGAAACTCAATATCATCCGTCACCGGGACAAGATCCACGGCGAGAACAAGTCTGAAGCGGTTGTTGGCGTAAGTAAAGCAATGAGAGCCGTCGGATTGGACCTAAACTCATCGGATTCGTAGTAGTTGTAGGTAGAAACTACCCTGTCCTAATTAACTTGATCCTGTTGGCTAACAATACCAGAAATTAGTATCGATCAGATGGACATAACATAACCATGGTTTTATTTGGGTTATCAGTAGTGATTGATTGAACAGATTTCTTAATTATGAATTGTATTTTTTTATTTTTTATTTGGAATTTGGTAATGAGGTTTGGTTTGTCTCATGTTGAATCTTTTGTGCTCAGGCTTTGACTTTTTTTGGAATTCTCCTTCATCCTCTTGACGTGTTTGATCAGCTGTGAATGTGATATATTTTATCTAGACGTGTTTTCAGCGTTTGTATGTGAGAAATGTCTTGGCTTCTTTTAATGTTAAAATATTTGTCGCTTACTTTATTATATAACAATTAGGATCAATCGTGTGTTTGTCACACATATAAAGGTTAAATTTGAATTTCCTTCCTAATCAACTACTTGGAAAAAAATAATTTTGTGTGATGTTTGTAAACAAATACCACCATCAAAAAAATGAAATTGAAGAAAGAGGGGTGATGGAGGTATGTTAGGACGATACAAGACATGTACGAGGGAATAAAAACTTGTGTTAGGAAATTAATTGGTGAAACAAAGTATTTCTTGGTGAAGATAGGTTTACACCATCGGTCGGAGCTAAGCATGCAACTTTTTTTTGTTGTGATTTTGGATGAGATATCACGAGAGATCTATGGGAGTGACACATGGTATTTGTTAGTTGTAGAATCAAAAGTAGAGGTCAACCAGGTGTTGGAATAGTGGATGATGGGCTTGAAAATACAAGGTCTACGAATTAGTCGTTTGAAAAGATAATATTTATGTTACAATTTTAGGGGGAATATATAGAAGAGTGGTTTAGAAGTCAATATTGGGGGACAAAGGGTATCCAAAGGGGACGATTTCAAGTATTTAAGTTCCATGATTTAAAAGATGGAGAAAATGAAGACGACTTAATGCATCACATAAAAATAGGGAAATGGGGATGGCTAAATTGGAGAGCTATCACAAGAGTGTTGTAAAACAATAAGACCTATTAAAATTGAACGAAAAATTCTATTTGGTAGTCATAAGATAGTTATATTATATGGATTAGAATGTTGTGTTGCAAAAAAGACCGTTGCAGAAATGAGGATATTTAAGTGGACATGTGGTCAGACCATATTAGACAAAGTTCCAAATGAGGTTTTCCTAGCAGAGTTGGGAGTTGCCCAAGAACAGATAAATTGTATGAAGAAGATTGTGGTGGTTTGGACACGTTCAGAAGAAATTGTTGATGGCGCCAATGAGGAGAGTAAAAAGAGTGACGGTTGAGACGGTAAAGAGGAGAAGACTGGTGAGTTGAGCAATTGATGATGGATATATCGACGTTTTTATAGAAGCCAAATATTTTTATAGAAACAATCGTTGTACCATCTGGATACCAAACGTTTTGTATCCATACAAAAGAAAAAGAAAAAGAAAATGGGTCTAGTTGAAAAAAAGAGTGTGATTGTGAGGGTTTGGCGAGTGGTTGAAGTATGGGTATATTTTGGGACGATATGATTTGATTTGTGGGCAAACGTCAGTGGTGAACAAGTGTTGCGTGTCACATATGTTAGCCTCACGCCCAAAGCATGTCTTCATTTAAACATCATCCTCTGTCACTCCCCAGTCCCCATCATTTATTGGACATTTCACTCCTTTCTTTTCAATTTTTATACCCCTACTTTTTTTAAACCGTAACATTTCTTATATTCATTTTACGTTATGATTATTAATTAAGAAAAATTCTAAAAAGATTTTCTAAATTATATATATTACAACAATTTATGATCCTAAGATAATGTAAATAAAAATACTTGAAACCAAAAAATTAGTATGTTTAACTACAAGGATGATATCTGATTAGTTTGAGCTTGGTTCCAAATGTCAAAAGTACCAGGAGGTCCCAGATTCAAATCCAAGAAGAAATAAAAATCCTCTTGTGGCCACGGAGGTTCAAATGCGGTGACTCCGGGCTATCTGCAAAGCAGGTGGTCGCCTTGGGATTTGTCGGCTCGCATAGCGGGTTGGATATTCAAGTTAAAAAAAATTATTATGTTTTAAGAAAAAGTTTAAAAAAATTCAATGAACTTGTTTAGAATGAATAAGTCTTTGGACATTTTTTTTTGAACAAATAAGTCTTTGAACATTTCAATACTTATTAAATAACTCTTTAAACTTTCTAAAACCTGTTAAATACATTATTATGATCTATAAACTGGTTAATATGATAAAATAATGAAAAAAGTATGGAAAAAAAAACTCAACGAACTTACATATTTTGAACGATTAAGTTCTTTTGAATTTGGAAAACTATTGACAAAATATTTTTTATTTTTAATTAAAATAAATTTCATCAATAATTTAAATGTAAGTATTCTTTTTATAAATATAAGTAATTTTTGGTATATTTGTTTCATTTTATAGACATAAGTATTTTTTGATTTAAAAAATATTAAGAGACTTAATCGTTCAAAATATGAAAAATTCATTTGTTTTTTTTTTCCAAACTTTTTCCACTATTTTTCCATATTAATCAGTTTTATAGATCATAAAAATGTATCCAACAAGTTTAGAAAGTCTAAGAAAATTTTTAAAATGTTCAAGAACTTAATCATTTTAAACATTAAAATCCATAATAGAGTTTTTTTATATTCTTTTCCCTACACTTTATTATCATTTAATTAAAACTTGTTTATTTTTTTACATTCAATGGAAATATATTTATTAATCAACTCCTAAACCATTTATTGTGGATCATTTTTACTTCTCATATAAAATTTATAACTCATTGTAGAAATTATGTTAATATTTTAAAAGCATAAGGGAGCTCGTATGGTGTAGCTCCATCGTTGACTAACGTAGCCTATTTGGCTACAATTACGTTTTTATGTGGACACATATACAAAGATTCATGAACTCATTGACTAGTCAATTTACAAGTCTCCTCAATCTAAATATTTTCCCACTCAATGTACATGAAAATAAACTAAAAAATTTAAGCACTAATACGACTGACTTTAGAGTTATAAGTCGTTTATTTGAACGCTTACTAGTAAGAGTCAACAATATAATTTATTTTATTAGGTAAGATTATAATACATTAAAACAGTGTCGTATACAATAATTTACTCAGTAAGATTCTCGACACTTATCATATTAATCCTGTAAGAAAAATTACCTGATAAGTACTATTTATTTAAAAGTTATATATTTTAAAATTCAATATTGAAAGAAAGAATAAATAGAAATGTCAAAGGGGTAATATGTTTTATAATCCTTTTGATTCCCATCCTTAGAAAATGTAGTGGGTGAGATTAAATACAATATATAAAGGGGTTTTATGTATGGATGAGTATTGATTAGGTTTGATTCTTTTCATGTATTTTTTTAATATTTCTCATCAAAATATCTACTTGCTATTATCATTCTTTCATTTTTTTTTTAATTTTAATTTTAATCATCAAAATGAGATATTTATGGGTTTTAAACAATTTTAGCATGCTTTTTAGTTTCATGATAAAACCGCGTTTTACTTATTATGTTTTTATTTTTTGTCGTGGAGTTGTTACATATTTGATCCATATTTTATAAGATGATTCAATAAGTTACTTTATTAAAACATTAATATGTATGTTTCTAACAATAATGATGAATAAATTTGTATTTTTAACATGATATAAAGTTCTATTAAGTACTTTAAAGATGAAAAAATGATGAAAATGATACATTGTTTTAGTTTATTTGAACAAAAAGTTGATTACCAACAATTCTAACTTGTTTCATAAAAATGTTATATTTGTATAATTTAAGATGAATTAAAAAAAAAGTGAAAAAGAGAGAATGAGTGGAGAAAATGGGGTAGGATGGATGTGTGGCCATAAACTCAACATGCTTTGTCTCAACAACTTGAAAGAAAACAAAAAGATTTTATGGTTGATATTTCAAGTTATGTGATAACGACAACTTCTATTCACACCAAGGTATCTCCCTCCACAAACACCCCCCCCCCCC